GGCGAAGCCGACCCTGCGAGTACCACTCCAGGAGTCGAGGAGCCTGAACCACCTACGCCTGAGCTTGATCCGCAAGACTACAAGGATGGGGAAGGTCGTTCAGTATCCCCGACGAAAACATGGTCGCACTACCCGACATCGAATCCAGATACTGAAGAACGGAAAAGAGCTGCCAAGCGCAGTGGGCAAGGTACAGCAACCGCTTCCAACTGGAAAACCGCCTATGACAACCTCAGAAGGGTCAGAGCACGCGCAGTGAGCCAAAAGGTGTGCTATTGTTGTGGTTCAAACCAACATCACCTGGCTATTTGTCCCAACACTGAGAAGAAGGACGAGTTGATGAACTCATTCTCTCACATGGAGGACACTATGCGCAAGTGCTTCACCGAGGACGACAAGGCAATCATCCGACGTGATGTTGAAAGCCGAAAGAGGAAAGCAAAGTCATCCAAAGACGTCGAAGACGAGGACTACATGGATGTGGATGATGAAGATATTGAACTTCCCGAAGAAGAACCGGAACTAGGAGGTAAGGTACCACCTCACTCTCCGAGAGCCAAAGGTAGACCACACTCGTCAGACTCTGCAAAAGAGGAATACGCGAAAGCGGTCGAGGCAACCAAGAAGGCCTTTGGGAACGCCAGTTTCGTCACCAGATTCAAAGAGCCCGTCGACCTCTTTGACATTGCCGATGACAAAGAAGGAGGAGAGTACAGGGTCGCAAATCACAGGGTTGATAGATCAGGTCCTAATGGAAAGTGGGAACTTGATGCACTTATTCAGGAGGCTGCAGCACTCGGAATAAAGATGCCCAAAGTGAAGGACCTTGCTCCTGACCCACAACAAGTTCAAAAGGTTGGATATCGGCAGATTGAGGTGACTTGCGATAGAGGAAGCATCGAGATAATTCCACAGTATGGAGTTACATTCTATGTGGAGTACTGGAATGGACCGAAGAGAGATGCAACTTTCACGGATCCACCAAAGATGAACCCAGCAACTCGCATCGACAAGTTCAGCGAGGAGAGTCAGCGGGTCAACGAGGTTAGCCATAGACTCAATAGACTACTCAGGCATGGAGTGGGAAAGCATAATGGGATTCAATCGCACCGCGGTCGAAAACCTCATGTGTCCCCGAAGTGCAATGAGGGTGGATGGGTGAACATCGATGAGATCCTGGAATATGACCATGTCTTCAACGATGGTGTCGATATCAGTACTATCTCAAATGATCGGCATCGTCAAGATGTCAAGACAGAGCGATACCAGTATTTATGCAAGGCGATGTGGCATGCAAAGAAGTTGCAGAACAGAGTACGCTATCAGATTGCCGCCATTCGTATCTCAAGGGAGGATGTCTCACTCGAAAAGGAAAGGCAATACTGGGCAAACCTCATGTATTACAGCACAGATGCACCGTCATTTCTGAAGCATGAACGTTGGATCGTTCCTTGTGCAATTCGAGCTGTTGCCTCTCACAATTCTGGAAGAGAGACTGTTCTTGAAGAGGATGTGTCAATATATCCTGTGTGGACTTCACATCTCATTCCAGAGAATGTGGCAATGCAGCTTGGAGGAAGCTTTCACATGACATCGCTTTCCAATATTGAGTCAATCATGAAACTAGGAATTGTCCCTGGTGGAACGGAGGGATATAGAGGTAGTGTTTTCTTCAACCACTTTGCGCCGTGGGATGATCGATCATCAAAGATTCTGAGATCAAGATGGCCAAGAGTGGGAATGCCCGTTTGCCTTTATGTTCCAATCATGACTTTGAGGAAGCTTGGGGGAAGAATTTCGGAGAATTCCTACACTGTTGTTTTTAGAGAAGTTCCATGGAGATGTGTACGAGGTGCTTGGTATTGGGACGACTACGTTCAGGCATGGAGGAGACTCCTGCTGGGAAGCACTGGAGAGCAAGTTGTTCTAGCGGCACGTCATGGACTTTGGGTTGCTCAGAAGCATACCATCCTCGAGAGAGCCGACGAAGTCACGAAGTCAGCCTCGGCGACAGATGACAACGTCCAAAAGCTCGTGTCCCTTATCGATGAAGTACAATTCGATGACAATGGAGAGCTGATCGAGGATTCCATCAGTGAGGAAACTTGGGACGAAATCATCTCCAGAACATGTGAAGGGTATCGCAACGTGGATGGCAATATTTTGTGTCCATCATGTATGCATTTGACTTCTTCATCTTTGTCCGTGTGTCTATCTTGTCAAGGCAGGCTACTCTCGTGTGGTATTCGCAACACTGTCATTTCCGATTCACCCGTTGATCTTGTGAGCGACGATGAAGAGGAAAAGAAGGAAGAGAAGGAGCCTGAAGATGATGATCAAGATATCTTGGACCAGGCCACTATGGACGAGATCAGAAAGGCTTGGGAAGAAGACATCGCTCAAACTGAAGCAGCTGACGACGACGAGGACATGGACAATCTAGATCCTTCCAAACCGTCTGATGGTGCAGAAAACTTCAAGAGTGACAATGTCGAGACCCCATCTTTCAATGAGGACGAGATCGACTACGATCGTGATTCTGATCTAGAAGATGAAGACGAACGAAACGTGATCATCGAGATCCAGAGGAGCACACAACAATATGAGGGGAAGAAACGTCAAGATGGTGAGCCCGAGGATGAAGACGTCGCCGACGACTTACATCCGGAGGCGAATCGACCGACAGATCGTGATGAACCGGGATACTATGCACAGCATGGAGCGACCGAGTTCAATCCCGAAGAAGGAAGAGACAACGAAGATCTCCCCATCTATTGTCGAGTACCGGAACCTCGAATCTATGCGCATCAAGAGAGAGCCTACTGTCAGGACGTCTCCATGAATGCATCGGGTTTGATGGATAGGTATGTGGTCAAATGTGTGCTGAACATGATCTCCCTGATGTACAAGAGCTACTATTGCACCAGCCTTACCGACTTCAAAGCAAATTGGAAAAGGAAGCGACTGGATGTGATAAGCAAGTTCGGTACAGAGGATTTCACTGAAATCGATGACGATGGGAGACCATTGGATCCAACAGATGACATGATGAGAATCTTTGCCAACGAAAACAAGATTACGATTGAGGAGGCCTGGCACCGATTCAGAGGAGAGCAATTCATTTGCAAGGTGGCACTCGTGATCCTATCATTTGGTCATACTCCGTACTCCTTCAAGAAGGAATATGGCAACTTCGAATACTCCACCAACTTGACTGACGTCCAGCTTGAGGAGTTGAAAGCGAAGAAAGCCAGCGCAATGACTGAATTGGTACAGAAGTGCATCCATGCGATTTATGGTTGTCGGACATATTCTTACTTTAGAACCGACGTTACATCGCCCAACCACAAGGTGATCGATCCTCTGGACATCATGTACTCGAGAATGAAGAGCAAATGGGAGAAGTCTATTCTGCTGATCATTGATCAACATGAGATCAGGTTGCCCCCACACGCTCAGAATGTCGTAGAGTCAATGGCCAGAAATCCCAACATTGGACATACAGAGAGATGGATGAGCGTGGTAGAACAGAAGCATGTTCAAGCTCTTACCGATCGTCTAGGCTTTGGAGATAGGGCCAAGGAGATTCAGGGCAAGAAGAAGCAGGCAGCCAAGGCAACAGCTAAGTCAACATCAACGACTAAGTCTGAAGCGAAAGCAGCATCTTCGTCAAGAGCTGAGGCAAAGCCAGCATCTACACCCAGAACCGAGGCCAAGCCGTCGTCAGCGCCAAGTGAAGAGCCAAAACCTGCAAGAGCACCTAAGAGTTTCGGGCCCTCATCAGCAGAGGAGAACAAGGCGAAGGCTGCTCCAAAAGCCAGACCACATGATAAATCACCATCCAGTGCTACCGATGTGTTTGAGCAAGCTTTGCAGGAAGATCTTGCCGCCAACGCACATGCAGCAGAAGGTACAACTTCTTCATCATCCCGAGGACATTCCAAAGGAGGAGGCCAATCTGGAACATCTTGGAGGCCGGCGCTAACGCAAGAACGTCGCGAAGTACCTCAACCTTCTGAAAAGGGGAAGGGAAAGAGCAAGTCCAAGGGAAAGTCCAAGAAGGGAGAAGATGATCGGCGGGATGCTCAGGGCAGCTGGGATCATCGTGGATGGAGAGGTTGTCGCCAGTGGTGATTTCTTTGAACGACTATGAGGATACCATGCAAACCAGGGAGGAAGTCATTCACCGGATGTCTATCTGACCTGAAACGCTGTAAGTGTATCATTGCAAATCATCAATACGATTTGATACCATGAGCATAATGGAAGGTAGACAGTCACCGACTGTCTCTCCGACTTGCCGTTCTGTAAGTGTATCCAAACCAAAACCTACATCTTTTGAGAAGTGTGAAGTCAGTTGCCGATGTGACATCTACGTGGAAGTCACCAGTTCGGATCTACATCAAAGCGATGCTCTTTTGAGTGGATACTGAGCGAGGCCTCGTGACTGTCTCACTTGTTCAATTCGATTTTTCATAGGTTCTGAGCCATAGTTGCACACTTTATATGTAAAAGTCCGCTTTAGTCCAGCATGTTTCGTAGTATGAGCCTCATATGAGTCTCGCGGCAAATCATACAATTTCTTTTGTAGCACTTACATCCCTAAATTTTCGTGTGTGATCGGAACATATTGTTGCCGTTCACATGGGGGGTGCGAATGGAAGTGCAGCGACACGTACAGTGCAACTTGTACATATATATGTACCATATGTACTTTGGCTCAAGGATCAAGCGACTAGAAAAGGTGCGGTTTCCGTTCCGACGCTACGCCGCTTATGGATCGTCAGTGATAGCTTCAAACTTCGCTGATTAAGATCCACTCGCATTTTTTAATGGGATGATCTAGTTCCACTTCATTCACTATGTAGAGCTGTGAACAACCCAGAGTTCGCTCAGGGTTCTTAGCCTGTGGGTGGAAGAATTTGATTCATCCAGCCTTTCTTTATCCGCACCACCATAGTAATCCTTGCCCGCCTGCTTTTAGTTGACTGACTGGACAGGAGTGGATGACTACTACCAGCAGCGCACTCTGGAAGTCTTTGAGCGAATGAAGCACCAAGCAGCTCGACCAGTTTGTCGAGGGGGGAGAACATGGGAGAAATGGTTGTTGCGAAACACCGGTTATTGTCAATGCAAAAATCTGATTGGGTCTCTATGTTTCAAAAACGATTCCTGACCCTTGGTTGATGCACTTGCAGTTTGCCGACTATTGTGCGCACCGCTCATGATCCTTTATACATACCTTTCTTAGAAAGACAGAGAAGACATCACACTAGCCACAACTCATGAACAAGTGATCATATGATGTGATGAGACCCGCAACTAACCTTTACAAGGTTTTTTTTTTAACCTTTTCACACCGAAATCTAACCTTTACTAGGATTTCAAAGCTAACCTCATTATTTTTTTAACCTGTATATTTTTTTCAAAGCTAACCTCATTTTTTTTCAGATAACGGACCAAACAGATATATGAAGATGACGCAGCGCATTTCGGATCATTTCGGCCATCAGAGCTGTGCCGCGGCTTCATGTGCGAGCATGCTGCGAAGCAAGCCACGGGGCAGTGCTGCACGGCTGCACTGGAGCTAATTAATTCATCAGATGCAAAGGTTGATGCCCCACATTTGGTGAATCAAAGAACGATTACCAGCAGTGCTGCTTTCTTTCGCCCATGCCATCATGCCACAGGAGAGGGTAGGAACAAAAGAAACCATAATAAGATGAACAGGAAATGAGATGACACAATCTGGATAATCATATATCTCAATCAAAGAATCCAAACCTGAAAACCGTTCGGATCAGCAACTGAGAAAAAGGAATCGCCCAAGGCCTTGCTGCGCTTCGTCTACGCCCGCTGCGGCGCCGACCGCGTGGCGGTTCCGCCCGGTGCTGCGCCCCTGGCGGCGCGGTTTCTGCGGAGCTTGGAGGAGGAAGCCTTGTGCCAGGCGGTGCAGGAGAGAAAACGGCCAAAAACAACACGTATAGGAAGGTGTTTTTTTTTGTGTGTGTGTGTGTGTATATGAGTGAGAGTGGGAGACCAACGAGAACCTCCCTGGCCCAATCTATTTTGGGTGGTTTTGACATGTTTTGACCACAAGAATCCAACGACTACATGAAACGGAGGAGTTTCTGTATGTGAGCTATATAGATACACCCTTGGCTCTTGCGGATTGTTATGGAAACGTGTTTTGCTTTCAAATGCTTTCAACATAATTAACTGGGCACACTGGGGTGATTGGCGCGATTGCGAGAGGGGGCAAGGACCAAACAGATAACGGACCAAACAGATATATGTTATAAACCCTGTCTCCAACTGAGCACTGGACGGTTTTTGTATAGCGCCTAGACAGCAGGACAGCTGGCCTGCCGTGATCCGTCCAGATGACACAGGCGGGGGGCTGCAGAGTGCACCCACAGTGGCATCCCCCAAGAGGAAAATACAATATGGACGAGAATACCAGACCCAATAAATCCCGCTTACAAAGCTCCTTATTTCTTTTTTGGTGTGTATATTTTTTATAACGTCTAGATGGTGTCTAAGTCGGATACTCATACTCAGATATCCGATATTATGTGTCTTACCGCTGCAGTTGTTTTCTGTTTTTGTTGGGCTTTGTTTCTTTCACGCAGGTGCTCTGCCGGCGCATTTGCTGAAAGCGCTGCCGTCCTTGTTGGAGCTCAAAGAGCTTTGTGGACACCGCCAGGCCGGGGGGCACACCCGGGCACCAGATGTTTCGTTCTTTTTGGCGTTGGAAAGACTGGAAAGTGTGGTGCAACAAGAAACCGGCTTCGACGGACGTGTTTTTATTGCTTGGAGAGGCTGTGTGGTGTCAGAGACTCCGCTACATCTGTACACTCCCCTCCCGAGCAGACGAAAAGCAGCCCTCCATGACCGACTTCCTTGGACCAGGTGACTGTGCGCCTGCCGAAGGCCCCTGGACAGCGTGAAAACCGAAAAAAGTGGCAGGAGAATGGCCCAGAGTGGTGGGGGGAAATGCATTGTGTCGTCAATGTGATCAACAAGACGTATTGTCCTCATGTTTTCAGCATTTTTTGTACAAATGGTCATGGCGTTATTGAAGGAAACTTGAATGCAAAGCAGCTCGCTATTTGGTGTTCAATTGTGTTTTTACGTGTTCCCTTGCGAAAACAACCTCGCACAGCTGGAGGGACCTCAAATTCTGACGAATTGTCCTCCTTTTCGGTGAACGACGGACACGTCGTTAACCTCTTGCTTTCTCAATTCCATTCACCCACCCACTAAAACCCTCACCAAGCCATCATTGATTGAACCAAATATCTCCACCAGATGAATGAGTTCGAATCTCCACCATCTTCCCCACCTCACTCTTGGTCCACCTCCTTTGCCTCCGCCGGGGGGGCGCTTCTCCTTTCTGGGTTTGCGTTTGCCACCGACCGATCTCCGGGAGCAGCGCACCTTCGGCGACGTGCGGCGCCAGATGCCCTACGAGGAGACGGCGCAACTGGCGACATGGCCTGAGAGGGCCTGAGAGGATGTAGAACACCATAGAATCATAGAACGCTCCACTTCGATTCATTTCAACAATATTGAAAGATGGTTGGAAAGATGGTTTGGTTGATGGTTTTGGTTGGCGAATGCTGCAGTTCACAGCCCAAGGTGTTGCGGAAAGGATCTGGTAAGTTGATTCCGTGGGTCTTCTTAGTGTGACACTGTTGGAGCTTGAAAGTATAACTTCACTATAAACAGTCCCATCCACTTGATTCTTTGTGATTTAACATTCCACAACGTGGCACCTTGGGTGTACCTGGGGTGTTCTGCAAGAGGAGAGAGGTCTTGTGAAGTTGGCTCAACCTGAGGCATTGAGAGACGTCATTGACGAATTGGCCACAGAGTCTGCTCCAAAGCACTACGCTGCCAGCGTGCCAGCGAGGGAGAGCATACCGTCACAAGTTGATTGGAGAGCTGTGTTAAAGTTTGACTTTTCTGCGTTTGGTTGATGACGGATTGGTGGTTCAAACTTAGTTGCGTCGGGCAATTTTGAGGGTGAGATCCACAAAGTTGCCTTATGTATATGTCCCAAGTCCATACTGCTCAAAACCAAGGTGTTACATGCAAGACTGTCACGAAATGTCCCGAAGCCAAAAGTGCCCCATGTCTCTGATTGAAATTACAAAATGTGGAGCCAACACATCCAGCAGAAACAGCTAAAGCTACAGTGGCTTGACGTGTTTTCTGTGCGCTATGACAAGTCGAATCCAAGCAATGGCCAGTCTTTTCGGATTTGTGTGTTTGCCAGTTCCCGAAAATGTTGACTTTCAATGAAACTTGCCAAAGAATGTCTCCCTCAACATGTTGCGTTCCTTATTTTTCAACGAAGCACCGCTTCCATGTGCTCAGGGATTTGCCGGAATTCGCCCAGCGACTCCAGCCCTTACGTGCAGCGATGCGACGGATTCTCCGGCGATGCGGTGATTTTTCGAAACCGTTTCTTAGGTCGAACGGTTTCAGGTGGTTTGGCGGGCATGCGCGTCCCATGCTTGGCACAGCCATTACGACAGTATTGACAGATTGTGGCAGGTGTGAAGCCACCCTCCAACAGATCGGAAATGATAAGAAGAAGAAAACACGTTCATTTTTCCACCAAACCAAATTGTTCTTCCCAAAAATCACCCAAACCGATTTCAGCCACCGTTCATCGTTTCATCCTCTTTGTCCAACTTTGAGGCCTTGGAGGAGACGTTGCACCTGGCTATGGGGCCACCGGTACCCAATGCTCCGGTGATGTATTTGGGCCACTTGATTTGCACGGCGGAAGTCTCTTTGTGTTCGCACATATCGAACGGTAAGGAATCTTTAAGACATGAAACAAGAAGTATTGAAGGACCGGGGGGTGATTGCAAAACAAGGACTCCAGAGATGAAATACTGTATATGTATTTTGTGTTTTTTTCGGTTGCCAGAAAGCGAAGGAAAGGAAAGAGAGGGAGGCAGTGTAGGACAGCAGAAGAGCAGCCTAAGGCGCAGGTGAGCAGCGCACCCCGCTCCACTGCGCGCTTCTGACTTGTACTTGTTTTTGTGGGGCATAGCCGCATAGCATTTGTTTTTGACTTCAACTAACAATAACTAACCGTGGTTTACCACCACTCAGAGTCGTATCATGGATGTTCTTTTAAAATGTTTTAGTTGTCTAAGTTGCATCCTTCATGTTATCGTGTCTTTGACAAAACCTTGCACTTCTGTAGCATCATGCTGCATGCTTCTTCTGATGGCAGTACCGACTGTGCCACACGATGTTCTGTATGCCAGGACCCCACCGAGAACATCACGCTTGTCCTGGAGGCAGCCTCAGAAGACAAATAGAGCTCTTTTTGGTCTGCAAATCTTCAGACTTCAATGCGCATCAGATGGTGAGCATTTTTCGCCAATGTGACTTTCTGCGGTCGAAATTGGCTCAGACGCGCGCGCCGCGCGCACTGCGCTCGACGCAATGCCGGACGACCATGCGCCGGGGACGCCTCCAGTGAGGAGGGCCCTCTTTCAGTCGCCGATGAGGCGCGTGGAAGGTACTTGTTCGCCGCAGTCGAATTCGCGCTCTGCCAGGGAGCCCGTGGAAACTGGTGACCGTGCTGAAAGGACAGCCAATATCTTCAGATTGTTACATTTTTTTGGCACGCTGGGCATTTTTTGGCAAATATGCCGTTGACTACCCAAACCAGCGAGTCCCGGAAATGTGGAACTTTCAACACGTCGTCCCTCCTCGCTTGTCCAGTCCTCAGTGGAGCTAGAAGTAGAGGCTCCAAAGGCAAAGAGAACCCCAGAAGGCTGATTCGACTCTGTTCCTCACATTTCCACCGTCAGGAAGTATGGAAAGTACCATTTGGATACATGCAGTGCAATCTCTGTGGTTGGTGCTTTGTGCCTTCCAATCCAAGTCGTTGAGGGCGCTAGCACGGCACCACATGCTTTGTTGAACCTTCCCCCAAGAAGTCAAAACCTTTGCTTTTGTTATTCTTAATAAATGGCAGCGGAAGAACTCTGCGGAAGGAAGCTGTGGCGGAGTGGGTCTCCGACGACT